TACATTTTTATAAATATTTTTATCTTAGGCAGTACATAATTACAGTATAACTCCCTTCTGGCTAACCTAAAAATAAAAATACACAAACAAGGAGCTTCATTAGTGAAGACCATTTTAAAGAAATGTCTTTTAGGGAATAAATTTGATTATTATTATGTCCTGAAATGCCATAAGTTAGTAAGGCTCTAATAAACCATTCAATGAAAAAAAGTTAAGGTTTTATTTTAATTCAATAAAATGAAAATTATAATGCTTATATGCTTCCTTTTATCATACCACAACCTTAAATTAGCTCTGGGAAGGGACAAAACCACATAGATTGTTCAGCTGCCTTTAATATTAACAGAAACATTATATATTGTACGGCCTCTTGTGTTGGTCAAACTCTGATGCTGCTGCCTATCATGCCGGGGCAAGATGCTCCAGTTTTCTCAGATTTGAGCGGATGAATAGGGAGACAGGAGAGACCACCAACCTGGTACTCAGAGCCTGTTGCAACGAATGAATTATGTAAGTGTCCCACACAGAAGGGGCGAAGAACAACTGTTGAAAATCCAAGTAAAATGTACCATTTTGGCAGTCCTGGAATGTAAACAACCAGTCAATGATAGCTCTCTCTCAAATAACATTACAATTTTTTTCTTTCCCCAATAAAGAGGAAATTGCCATAAAATGGAGATGTTGAATATTACAGTATATACTTTGAAAGGGATTAATGCTCTTCGAATGAACAAGAAGTGATATTTTCCCCTCTCCCCAAGTGGAGGGACTGTCTTATCCTGCCACTTCCTCTTTCACTTCTCTTCAGAAATTCAGTCCATGTACTGGGGGGAGGTTAAAAACTAGAGACAACTGAAGGAAAATCCCCTTTCCTTTTTCTTACCTCTGTCCACTAGACCAAAAAAATAATCCTGCAGCTGAAACAACGCTTCTCATGAAGTAACCAATATATCTTCCTTCACGTAGATAATGAATCACCCTCTGTAATTGCAGAGGTGCGGTACTTGGTTGAATGCCAAGCGATCATCTGGGTTCCTCCTAGAAGTAATGTGAGTAGATGTTTATTCTCTTACTCTTTGCTGGTAAGAAAAGATCTTAAGTGGTTGGTCTGTCAAGATCACAGAACCAGAACCTGAGTCCTATCTCTTCTCCATTACCCAGGCTCCCTCCTGTCTCCATAAACGTTCATCAATGAGATGAATCACTAAAACCAGTGTGTGTGTGTGTGTGTGTGTGTGTGTGTGTGTGTGTGTGCTCATGCACATGCATACATATATATGAGTTACAAAAAATGATTGCGATTTTCATTATAGATATCAAGATATGTTCTATGCTTAGTTAATAAAATTTTTGTACATACTACAAAATAAATTACTTAAAAGAATTGAATTTTACTCAATGTTTAAAATATAGTTGAAACGCATAAAAAATATAAACATGTTTAAAATGAAGTGCATTGATCCCGCTAACTTTGCCTACAAAAATAACTTAAGCAATATTCCTACTCTGTACAAGTCACTAGATGTGGTGAGTATGACGGTGAACAAACTGTCTGTGCCTTTAAGGCATCCAATCCAGAAGATGATAGAAGATATAAGAAGATATAAGACAGAGTCACTACATGCCTAAATGCTGGGGTCATGAGAATCCAACTGAGTAGGGGTTGACTGGAGAGATCCTTTTTATAAGACAATTAAGCTGAAACAAATAAGAAGGAAGGAAGGGGGTGGGAGGGAGGAAGGAAGGGAGGGGGGTGAAAAGGAGGGACGGAAGGAGAAAGGAAGAGAAGGAAGGAAGGAAGGAAGGAAGGAAGGAAGGAAGGAAGGAAGGAGAAAATTGATTAATTGCGGTGGGTGCAGATCAGGAGAGGAAAGACAAGATGTGCATAAGCAAAAGTGGAAGAACAAGACAGCAGTGGAGCAGGCAATGAGAGCTGTCGGGAAGAAAGCAAAATGAATGTGATCCCCTAGGAAACAGTGGAGGATGATAAACTTCAGTGTGGGTTTGGCCACAGAACTTGGGAGCTCCAATCAGACAAAGAAACAGCTAGGAAGACTATACAGCGTTACAAACCTCTACTTTCTCTGGAATTCTCTTTTCTTTAAACCCACTAAATACACATTTCTTTTCTGACATGGTGTGCTCACACAGAACAAGAGACACCAAGTCCTTACCACACCATTTAACCTGCACTGTCTCATTTAAGACTCAATATAACTTTTACCAAATGAACAAACTTCTTCTTGATGAGGTATAGAATTTTTTTTTATAGCCCAAGCATCTCGGATGGCAGATACAGAATTAAAACCCAGATTTTAAGATCTCTTCTCTGTTGCACTTACATGATTGCAAACACTGGACCTGTTAGCAGAAGAATCTTATTAAATAATTGCTTATTTAGATTCTTCTGTCGCAGAACAGAGTAGTTAAGGCTGTTGCCTTCATGGTAACTACATTCAACAAAGAAACAGACTGAGGTCAGTAGATTTTCTTTCTTAACAAATTCCTTTTCTTAGGGAACAAAATGTTGTTCATATTTCAGAGAGGAAAGAAGGGCTCATTAATAATTGGACTCTACTGCTTGGCTATTTTCTGTATCTAGTCATATTGCGTTGTTAATTCTCTCCCCTCAGGATGATTTTCTTACAGATTTACTCAAAGTTTTTCTAATATATTATCTCACAGAATAACTATGTGTGAAAGAAAAGAGTGCCAGTGTTAACATAGATGGTATAGTTTATCACAGTAAACTGAAGGCCAGAGACAAGGAGAGGGAGGAAGAGAGTGGGAGAGAGTGTGTTCATGTGGGTGTATGTGGTGTGTGTGAGAGAGGGAGAGGGAGGAAGGGAAAGAGGAAGAGAGGGAGAGAGAGAGAGAGAGAGAGAGAGAGAGAGAGAGAGAGAGAGAGATTTTTAAAAGCAGATGTTTGTACGACCTTCCTACAAGAAGCCAAAGGATCCCTAGGGTAACACTTAGAAGAACTGGTCCAGTCACTTTTCTAGTTTCCAACCCATGTTTTGTATTAAAAGGGGTGCAGTGACCTGAAAGTCTAATTACCCCTCTCCAAATGTCTGTTTCTTAGGCTGCTGGTAGCAGAAAGTGGGACTAGTTGACAGCCATCCTCCGAATCAAATCCCATAAATAACCTGGGCAATTACTCTGTGCTGGGCTGCAGAAGTTAGTGGGCACTTGGGAAGAAAAGAGTAATGCACTATGAATGCCAAGTCAGGTTAATGCAAAGTGGAACTCGAAGTACCGAAGCTATTAGAAGGAAAGCCGAGCATACGTCATCACTCCTTCTGCTACTACAGATGTACAGCGCTCTTCAAACTCAGGAATGACTCATCCATTCTTACCAGAAGAGCGGTGGGGTGGCGGACACCACATGCTGAGCCCTAGAGAATACTAGGTTGCAATATATTGAAATAACCAAACAGAATGTGAGTTCACATGAAGGAGCAGAGAAGGGAAAACTGCAAAATGCAAAGGGGTGATGAAGCAGTATTAAGCAGAACCAGAAAGAGCCAAGGAGAACCTTGCTGAGGAAGCTGTGGAAAAGCTAGTCTGGCATTAGAGAAACATCTTAGCTCAGTTTGTCTCGCAGGAGCAAGCGGGGAAACTCAAAGTGTCCATGCCTGGCAAAATCACCCTTGCCTTTCATCAAGGAGGCCTAAGAATTAAGAGGAACCCAGAAAACAAGAACTGGTTTCCATCAGGGTGTCTCAGCTTACAAACACAGATTACAGTGTCATATTAGTGGGAAAGGCCTGGAACAATATTCTGCTAATATGAAATGAGGCTTAGGCCCAATGCAGAATATCAGAAGTTCCTGAGGGGGAACTTGGTATTTGAAATATATTCCATTGATGAGTCTTATAAACAACTAAATTTGTTACTCAAACTAAGTTTAATGATAACCACTGCTTGAGAGAGAAATTTTCATTCCTGAACACATCCTGGTTCAATTTACCTTCATGGGAATTCACAAAAGGATCCCCCCCCCCATGAGCTATCTTTGCAAGGCATGCAAAATCTGCTGCCACCAACATGTTTCTGATGGACGCCCTATAGTCTGGTGGCTACCCGCCATTTTGACAGACAGAAGGGTACAGATTCTGAAGTCCAGGCATCATTGCCACCATCTTCATAAGAGTAGCTTTCAAAGCACCGGGGCAGCCCGGGAGAGGAAAGGCTGTAGAAGGCCTTCAGAACCTCCTGGCAGCAAGAGGATGCTCACCAAGACCCTAATTGCAGATTGCAGTCCTAGGTGCTCAAGGCAAAACACCACACTTTCCTCTGACGGAATTATTATTCAACTTGCAGGCCTAAAACAAACTTCTAAGAAGGACTCCTGTGGTGTAGAAACATTTAATTAATTAGAGAATTGCATGTGTGTTCATTAAACTTGTATTTTCCAGCAGACAAGCCAGACTAAATAAAACCAGGTTCAAAATCAAGCGTTCGCGCAGCAATGCCTAGGGATCTATGCCCACCTGCAAAATAAAGGCTGAGCTGGAGCCACTGTGCGCTTCTTGGTAATCCCGACTCTTTCACCTTTCCCTCCCTCTCCTAACTGCTGGTGAGTTGAGGTCTTGGGTTAATGAATGCTTCCATCTGTAGGCTGCCAACCCTAAGAAGCCTGTGGCTTTGTGCCAGGCTTTCCTACACACAACATCATGGTGCCAACCTCCACTGCTGGATTCGCAGCGTAAAGCATTGCTGCACTCATGGTGAGGTATGAATGCCTGCAGAATACTAATAACTGAATGGTCCTTTATCCTAAGACTTAACACTTTCGCTGTAATAGTACAAATGAAGGACAGATAAAGCATCCTTTAACGCAAACACATCTCTTCCCATACTGTTCTGTTGGGTCATCTCTTCAAAGATTGCAGTGTCCTTCCTGCTCAGGTCCCCATCACCTCCCACCATTGGGGAAGCCACGTGGAAGCCTGCTAGGGCGCATGCTGAGTCACTTCTCCACTCTCTTCTCTCTGCAGCTCCAATGGAAAATCGGTGACATGGGCCCAGAACGAAAAGAGCAGCCGGGGGCAACACCTGTGGCAGCGGCTGTCGGTCCACATCAACAAGAAGGAGAATCCCAATCAGACAGCGGTCATCAAACCCTTCCCCAAGAGCACAGAGAGCCGCGGGCCGGGTGCAGGGGCTGGTAGCTCTGGCCCAGGGGCGGCAGGCGCTGGTGGCGGCACTGGATGCGCGGTGGCAAGTGGCCCAGAGCCTCCTGATGCGGGCCCCAAGGCACTGTACGACGTGGTGGAGACTGAGGAACGTTTTCCAGCAGCTGCCAGGCCGCGCTCTCCGTCGCCCATCAGCACTCTGAGCCACCTCGCGGGCTCGGCTGGCCGCACAGACGACGATGCGCCCTCACTGCATTCCGAAACTGCGGCGCGCAGCAGCTCCTCCCAGGGCTCGCTCATGGAGCAGATCAGCAGCGTGGTGACACGTTTCACCGCCAATATCACGGAGCTCAACTCCATGATGCTGTCCACTGCGGCGGCGCCCGGGCCAGCCGGTGCCCCTATCTGCTCGTCATACCTGATCCCCACAGAGATCCAGCTGCCCACGACCATGACGACTTTCGCGGATATCCAGCCACTGCCGGCCATCGAGGTGACTGGAGGAGTTCAGCAGACAGCAGGGGCATCACCTGCCCAGGAGACTCCGGCAGGAGCTGAGGCCGCACCAGGCAAACCAGACCTGGAGGAGCTGGTAGCCCTCACTCCGCCATCGCCCTTCAGGGACTCGGTGGACTCTGGGAGCACCACCCCAAACTCGCCGGTCTCCGAATCAGCCCTCTGCATCCCATCATCTCCCAAATATGACACTCTCATCATCAGAGATTACACGCAGAGTTCCTCGTCGTTGTGAACCACTGAAAACTTCCCTGGGATCGGCATGAGCGGCAGAAGACCTCGGTGTCACACCTGGGCGCAGTGACACCCAGAGCCACCCCAACAGAGTACCTGAGGTGGACTATGCCAAGGGCACACACAGTGGAGACACGAGATCAGTAGTGCTATTCCACAACCTCCGATGACGACGACACCAACCACACATCTTCTGGCAGATTATCTTCTAGTGGCCTTAGAAAAACATGGGCTTTTAAGAAACACTGCTTCTATCTTTAGAGTGCTGACCAGGATTGGTTGAAGCAGTTACAATACCAAGTTCTTTGCGCGAAGGCACCAACAGTGTGAAGCAGCACCCTGGACCATGAAAAGTGGAGCAACTGTAAACAATTTTGTTTGTTTACTTCATTTTCCCAGAAGAGTCTTTGATTCACCAAACACTGAATGTACATTTTCTAACAAACTCAAAAATCTGGGACCAAAAAGTTAACCTTCCTGTTTTTTCCTTCCTTCCCCGGTCCTGCCCTGTAGACCTTGAAAAGCTAACAGTAATTAGAGCCCGGTATTTCCTGAGGCTTGTGATTCTCCTGAATAACACAAACGGGTAGTGAGTGTTTGCTAATGGACAGAGAGTTTCTAACTGAGACTTTCCAACCAGGCTGTGAGATATTCTTCCAAAAGCCTGCACCTTGGATTCCACCTAGTTATTTCAGATTCACCTCCATTAACCAAGAAAACCAGTGCGAGATTTCTGGACTATTTCACCATGTTGCCAATCAATACTGGAGTAGCAAAAAAAAAAATATTTTCTGGAACACTGTTTTGTAATTCCCTCACTGGGGTGCATTGTGTAGCTGGAAATTCTCTTTGTAATAACTCGGGAGCTGTAACCTGGCTCTCTTTCATGATACACAGGCACTCCTCTTTATGAACGCCCTTCCCTTAGTGTTGCCAGCTGAAACAGTAACATCCACAATGAGCTTCCTCATTTCTTTCTTGTAAAAACATGATATACAAAGAGATCCTCTGTTGGTGGTGATTGTTCTGTCCCCAGTCCCCCTTCTGAAAGAGTGGTCCATAGACCCTATGAGGATATCGTCACACTTGGAGGGACTGTGACGGAAAAAAAAAAATAGTACAGAATCTCAATACAGAAAGGTCAGCATAGCAAACGTTTTGCTGTGCCCTCATGAGCAGTGGTTTTATCTTTTCTTGGCTGCTTATATAGGGCAGCTATGAACTATGACAAATGTAGATTTTTTTTCAAAGCAATACGGAATACTCAAACAGAGGAACCTTAATAACAACCACAGTCTTTCTCAGCCATTCCCAAAAAGGCGAAGCAATCGCGAATCCTTTACTTTTTCAAATAGTTATTAATAAGGTTTTGTGCACTTCATACTGTCAGTTTTTAAATACTACAGGAAAGAGTTTTAGGGTTACAATAAAGACATACATGCTTTGGTGGGCTCACATAGGTAGAAACTGTACAAGACCTGAATCCACTATCATCGTTGTATTGGTCCCATTGCAGCTATCCTCAGGTACCAAATAGTCTTGATTTTTAAATAAAGATAGTAATAAGAGGAGGTATTCTATAAATTTAATGTTCAGTTGACCCAGCCTTATACTAAAGATAGCCTTATGAGAAAGATTTGCCAAGAGACAGAAGTATATTTTTAGCAGAGAGAAATTTAAATAGAACTTTAAAATTCTTATTTCAATATCCTTGATATCCTGCTCTCTCTCTCTTTCTCTCTCTCTCTCTCTCTTCTTTTTCTTTTTCTTTTTTGTTTGTTTTTGTTTTTTTTCTTGTAATTGTTGTTGTTGGGTCTTATTTTTGTTTGTTTGTTTACCATCTGATTTTAAAAGAAATTGAAACTGGAAGTCTACCCATTGGCATAATCTTTCATTCTCCAGTTTTAAGATTTTTAATAACTACCGACATTGCTTTTCTGATACCTGTTCTTATTTGAAATTTTAAATGGACTCTTCTATGTTAAAGCATTAAAAGCTAACAATAATTCATAAATTAATCAAGCTTTGTAAGTCAGATTTGAAAATAGCATTATCAGAGCAATGCAATCCCAAATAGTAATGGGATTCTTGGAAGAGAAAAGAAGTCTGGCTAACTTGCATAGCTTCATTGAAAGGGAATGCCTGCCTCTCCCTGAAAATTCATTGTAAATACTTTGAAATGTCAATGCCTTTTGGTATCCATCAAAAGCAGTGCATTCACCTGGGGTTAGAGGCTGCATTCCTAGGTGTTAATATCTTTCTAGATATGTTCTACTTTCTTGTTTCACTGACTCTTTACCTTGGTTTCTGTTTTACTTTTATGTGTAGTAAGTTTTACTTCTTTGACTTTTTTTTTTTGCGATGGAGTTCTTTTTTTCTATGATTTCCATGACATGTCTTTTCTTTTAAAATTTGCTACTTTATCAAAAATTACATTAGAAATTCAAGTTTATTGCAATTTCCATATATAATTCATTGTGATGTCATAGTCAGCTATAATAAAAATAATTGATTCAATTAGAGGGAGATAAAATTATTTTTCTGTAAGTTACCCAAACGTTGTCATCCGATTGAATACATTGTATATTGCACATACCAATAATACATCTTTGAAATCTTGGATTTTGGAATGATGCTAACTCTCTCTCTTTGCCAATTCTAACACCAGGTTCCAAGTAATAACTATAATAAAAAGAAAACTGAATATTTATTCTAGGGCTAGGATACGAACTTCCCAATTCGTTTGAGTACCTATTCTTACTGAGTTTCCTTGATAACAATCTAGTCCAGGTACCCAGTGATAAACCACTAGGGTCTTAAGTGTCATAAACGAAAGATAAGAATGATAAAGACCAGAACAGTAGCCTGAAAGGCGGTTTTGGTCCTGAGACCTAAGAGGCGACCTGGTTTGACTAAATTTATTGGCCAAAAGGTCCACTTACTTTCCTTTTGAGAAGAGTGGAGTGAGCCTGAGAAGACTATGTTTGGACGGGGCTAGACATAGGGCACTGGAAAGGAATCTGGAGAGGAAACTCATAAGAAAATTGACAGATGCAAAGGAGAAAAACAAATCTCCAAACGTGCTAATCTTTGAACGTAATATTCTTTTTTCCAACGACTGATAAACCAGCAAGTGATCAGAAGGACTTGAAGCTATTTATGACTGTAAATGCATTGTATAATGGCTCTGCTGCAGTCTGACTTCCAAACCAGGAATTAAACACTCTTTTTAAGAAAAAAAGAAAAAAGAAAAAAAGAAAAAAAAATGTCCTGTGCTAGTCTCCCAGCAAAATGTACATGGTCTGGAGACTTCAAAGTTATTATATGAGTTCACATTTAGTAACAGCTTATTAATAACCCTCAAGCTGTCTGAATCTCTATAGTTACCATTTACAATTTTATACTGTGAAAAAAATACAGATCAGTGAAAGCATAAAGATGATTCAGAATTTGCCTCGAAGAGGGTCTGAGGCCTGGGAGAATCTCAAATGTCTATTGTTGAATGGGGCATGTATAAACAGTTGGCGGGATTCACTGATCTTCTCATTGTGAACAAATATACTATGTATATTGTGTGTCTTTCTAGAACTCAATGGCAGCTGCTGGTGATGTTGTAATTAGAAATCTATATAGAATATAGATGTTTAGAGAGATGGTGCCAATACTAAAATATTTGTGTGGGCTACAAGTGCTTGTACTTCATTTTTTTTGCACTCAGAACTGATTTGACTTTACAACTGTGTGCACAATCTGTTCTTTTTCTGTTGTTGCAGCTTGTACTATTAAAATAATAGAGAATGTTAAATTATTTTGATGTGAATTGCAAATGATTTTTTCATAAATTTTAACATTTTTATCAGCATTGTTTCGCTTTGTACTTGTATAAATGTGATTTATTTTAGCATTTTAAAATATACTTGCCTGCTTCTCAGTTGTCTCTATCACGTTATAGTTGGTGTTTGTGAAGCCAGTTACTTTTTGAAAAATATTAAAAGAGAAATTATGATATGCCTTCAAAATTATTCCCCTCAAATGCTTAGACTATTGTCCTAATGGTATTTCCCGAGAATGACAAGAGTCATTTTATAATTTAGCCTTAAGTTCTAAATCATAATATACATTTGAATTATGATCATTGGGTAATAAAATAAAGCAAGGCAACCTCAAAACAAACAGAGATGTTGTCCCTAAAATTCTCTACATATACCTTTTTAGATAAAAATATTTACATTAGAAAAATAACATGAGGACTACAGTTTTAGTTTTTAATCTATGCATACAAATTATAGGAGTATTTTCTAAGTTATTTGTCTGGATACTGTTAAAGTTAAACACAAAATGGACAAGGTACATGCATGTACATGTGTATATAGAAATTTGTACACACATTTACATATTTACTTGTGGCTCTACCCGTAAAAGCCTTTGTTAGCAATTCTGTTGTCTGTCTGTCTGTCTGTCTCTCTCTCTTTCTCTCTCTTTCTCTCTCTCTCTCTCTCTCTCTCTCTCTCTCTCTCTCTCTCTCTGTGTGTGTGTGTGTGTGTGTGTGTGTTTATGTACATAAAACTTTCCAAGAAAAAAATATTGTCATATCACCCTTTAATTTTGACTCCAAAATCCTTAATTTTTGAATACCAGTTAGTGAAAACCTAAAAAGCAGAATATGTGCTTGAACTGATTTAAAAAAACAGTGTATATTTTAAAATATATCCTCCCAGTGTTTACAAGCCTTGTGATGTTTGTGTTCCAGCTCAATCTATACAAATATATGAATGCGTGAAATTATATTATTGTAAAAATTATATTTAATCTTAAACAAGGTAGCCATTTTCCTACAAGATCACACTCAACCCTTCATTATGTTCTATTTTTCAGCAAGCCATTCACACAAAATTCACCTAAAAGTGAGATACCTGAAAAAATAGTAAAGAAAATTTATCTTCTAAAATTTAAGATAGACTGGTTTCAGGAGAAGTGTAGAAAGTCACTCAAACCCAGGTGAAGAAGAAGAGAATAACAGTAAATACAAAGCCAGATTTATCACCCTAACAACGTCATACTTTAGATAGGTTAACCTAATTTCTCTACAACTCAGTTCCTTTTACAAAAGAAAGAGGGGGGGATAGCTGTGACGTTTCTTTCATTTCTCATTCCTGGGAGGAGAATGCACGTTTGGTACGTAGATGATATTTGTAGAATTAGTACCAATAGCATTTAGCACATAGCTAGTATTCCACAGGAAGCTTAAATTTGTGGTGCTCAATCTTATGTGGAAGTAGAACAAGTCAATTTTAAAGTTAAAATTTTGTCAAGACAACCTACTGAATGAATTCTCTTTTGAGGACAGCGGTTATTTGATGTTGAATGTTACAAAAAGAATGTTTTTCCTCATTTTGGCAGCACATATACTAAATTTGGAAAGAATGCTTTTCTTCATTTGTGTCTACTTAATGATTGATATTATTTCCCCATGCTATGTATAAATGGTCAGCTTTAGAAAAAAAGTCTCAAAATGTTTACTTATCATGGCAGCTAGAGAGATGGTTAAATATGTAATTGTATTATTGAAGCTACCTCCTTAAACATGACCATAACATCTTTTCTTTCTCACGGATCTTTAGACATTCAGAAGCAGCTGCTATGGTTTTCTTTTTAATTAGTTAATTGCTGTTAGTCCGTAACATCCTCAAGCGAGGAGTTGGAAATTAGCTTCTCCGGTCATTCCTACATTTCCAGATGAAAGTGGTACAGTAAACCTTAAACTTTCACATAGCTAAATATTTTTTTAAATTCCGTTGACTCCAGGTTATAGGCCCTTGTTTTTAACCTGTGCATGAGTCTTTCTGAGTGATACACGAGTTATACACTCACAAACAAGCTTACATTCTCACGAATTAAATCTTAAAAACTTAATTTTATATATTAGTGCACCCCAGTCATAAGATAGATATTATATTGTAAATTATAGGAAGAATATATCCACAAAAGTACATATTTGGTTCTCTTTTCTGAGCTGCTGAACAGCAGCAGACAATCCATAAAAGTTTCTGCAGTTTTAAAAGATTCAAAAGCAGAATAATTCCAAATAATTTACTGTCTTCACCTCAAAGTGTACCAGTCTTCAATATGCAAATACATAGATGAAACTTGACACTAGAGAGCACGAATTCCTAGATCACACTTTGCAAACGCTACAATACAAACTTCTAAATACCTCACTTTGTTCAATTAGTATTCACAATGGTTTGCTCTCCGATTCCACGTTTAGAGTAGAATACTGATGCGGTTTAGCATATCGATATTAGGCTGAAC